GTTTATGTCAGTGGGATGACGAAAGCAGTGGTGGGAGTTCGCGCGCGACGGCCGGGACCGTTGGTGCATGTATGGGGATTGATGATCAGAGTTGAGTGAGTGATTGGCTCGGGGCCATATTGGAATTAACGGCGAATGCGCCTTTGTGGTTGTGAATCTTTATCTCTGGTATGAGTGTGCGGCGGCAACGCCGAACATCCTCTTTTTTTTGGATCTCGTCCCCTTCTATCTCCCTTTCTCTCCTCTATCTTTGAATGATGAAGTGTCTCTCTCTCTCTCTCTCTCTCTCTCTCTCTCTCTCTCTCTCTCTCTCTTTTTCAAATGAAAATAAGTCTGTATGTTGTTCCCGTGTGAAAGAACTTCTTCCGGAACTCTTGCATTAGTTTTATGGGTAGTCCCCCTACGCAAGAACCCCGTCTTCTTGTCTTGTGAACTGTGGATGCATGTGTATTGTTCTGATCCATCTTTACACATATCCCATTTTCGCACCTTCCACAGTGAATGAATGTATGGAGATCCGTGTTTTTTTGCGTTGATTAGATGATTGTTGTTGGGATTTTGTCCGAGAATGCAGAATTGTTTATATCTGTAGCTCTGTATGAACTACGCATGCCATCTGCCTTATGCTGCACGACCTCAGCACCCGAGTCACAGGGCGGCCTCGAGAAACAAGGCGCCTCGGATCAACGTCGCGTTGGCTCACTAAACCCGAGCCGCGGGCCGGTCCGTTAGCTACATGCATGATCAAGCTGATGAGTGTTTTCTCCCTCTCTCGTGTAGAAAAAGATTGATTGGGGGTTGTGCGAGAGTTTTCCTTTCTTGATGACGTCTCGAGGTTTTTGCAATTGATTGATATGTAGACTGACAAGTACCCTCCGATCGGGCACCAACCTCCTGCACCTCCCGTCTCAACACGGCCTTTTCCCTACAACGAGGAGAGGACACGTGTATGCGAGTGGGACGTACGAGAAGTCGTTGCACAAATCGGCGGACGATACTACTTCCCTCTGGCAAATCGTTGTTCAGAGTTCGTAGAGGCTGGGTTTGTCATTATCGATACGCACTTCCCACCTTACTCGATATTACTCCCATTCAACGAGTTGATTGTCATCCCGTGGATGACAATAGAACCCCACTGGCCGCGCACTCTATGCACCGAATGTCAGCGTTTTGAGCCCTACGAATCCAGGTTTTCCACTACCGTGTGCAGAGTGAAGACGAGCATAAAGAAAGAGCCACGCGTTTGAGACCATCCATGTCAGACTCAGAACTGACCAGCGAACGACGACGGAACTTGATACGAAAACGGGACACGCGAAGCGTGCCCAAGCTCTTTTGCTCTAAACGACGGGCCGTAGCACGGTGGGAGGCTTGACAATACTTTTTGGATTGAATTTGGATTTTTCTCTTTTCGCGCCATGCCCGCGCGCGCATTCCGCAACGCGCGAAAGCAACCGACTTACTTCATCGGACCAACACGGGGGATTTCAGTTCCGTTTGTGTCCCCACACTCAATTTCTAAAAATCCTTGGCACACCCTATCTTGCTGTTTTTCCGGGCCTCCTTCCGCACATCTAGCACTCCGAACGAAAGATAGCACAGGGCGTGAGGTTGGTATCGGAGCCGACACGTGTCGGTTTTGATGATAGTAAGTCGAACTGGCGAGAGGTAGAAGAAGAAGTCCCCCACCCGCTCGCCGAGATCGTCCAGTGACCAGATCTATATCTGGTACTGTTATACCAGCTATACCAATGGTGGACGGTAATAGGGTAGTGGTTAGCATTCCCGCCCCCTTTCCCTTCTTCCCTAACCATACCCACCCCGAGGCTTGGTTGGAAGCCGTCGAAGCTCAAGGCTACAGCGCGGGTGATCTTCCCCGCGTTTTTACCTTGCTACTTCGCAATACGTCGCATGATTGGTTTAGAAAGCACGTATGGGCAGATTGGAATACTTTCAAACAAGCCTTTTTGGCCCGATTCGATACGGTCAGTGAAGATGCCGCCTGGTACGTGCTCAAAACTCGGCCACAAGGACCAGGGGAATTGTTGCCCGATTTCGTGGATCGATTTTAAACCACATTGGACAAATCAGGGCGAGATGAGAAGTCCGCTCGAGATCTGTTCATCGATCACTTACGAAGTCCGACGTTAAAAGGGAAATTGCAAAAAAAGGTTCCGCCGAAGACACACCAGCTATCGTCTATCATCGCTGAAGCATTGGAACTGGAACTGGTTGATACAAAAAAATATATCAGTCAGGGAGACGAGGATATTACAGATACCATACGAGATGTAGCAGCTAAAAGGTGATCGTGGCTGCGAGCGGTAGAACGGTTCTACCGCCGCCCCGACCATGACCTCCCCGATGAGATCGTTTCTGACATCCCGTCTGTTTCGTCTTCCTCTCCCCCGGTGAATCAACCGATCGCGACAGTCAAACGTGGGATCTCACCCGAACCCCCCTCGCTGGCCATAACCAACTTACATCTTGCCCAGATGATCCATACGGCCACTACCTAGCAGTCCGAATGGAGGAGCAACTTGATCCAAATAAAGGCCGCTCATATGGAGCGGATGGAACAGATAATGAGCAGACTAATCAAGCCTAACCCGGCCCCTGCTCAGCCTGCTCCCGCGTCATTTCCACTCTTGCCTGCCCCGCCTGCACCGGGGTACGCACCTCAGTTCCCTCACCTAGCTAATCCAGCAGGAAAAATCGAGTGTTTTAACTGCAAACAGCCCGAACATTTCGCCTGAGACTGCCCGCAGCCGAAGCGTAGTCAGCCCCCACCTGCGGCAGCCCCTGTGGCCCTGAATCAAGGACAAGTGGCCGCTTTGATGGAAACGGCCCAGGGAGAAGAGCACGAGACAGATGCCCCAGAACAGCCATCCCCCTCGATGGCAACGGCGTCGACATCGGGAGCTTTTTCCTCTGACGCTGCTGACGTGGTCGATCCACTTGAGTATCTTCATCTCGCCGGCATGGTCGGAGCGATCCGATCGGCCCCGGATGATCTCGAATGGGTCGATCGCGAATCCGATCCTGGTCCGCAGTTTCGAACGGGAGACATTGACGTGTTAAGAGCTCTCAAGCAATTAGACATTCGCGTTCCTGTCCCAGTAGGACATTTGCTCACCATATCCGAAGCGGCGAATGATAAACTCTTGCAACACTGTCAAAAAAATCAAAAACGTTTCACCTATCAGCGCATACAGCGAATGTTGAAGAAGAAGGAAGGAAGCGAGGAAGTCGCACCGCCCGAACCCGAAGCCGGTGAACCTGAAGTCGGTGAACCTAAAACCGCACGCATAGCAGCGATCTCTTTGGCAGAAAAAGATCACTTCGTACGAGCACGGCCGGTATTATGGAAGAGCGCGGAGTGTGATTGTGAAGTTTGGGGCGAGCCGTTTAACGCCCTTATCGACACAGGGTCTTCTGCAGTGGCCATATCCTTAGATACGGTCAAAAACACAGGACGACTTGGATCCATTCTTCCTCAATCTGGCAAAGACAATTATGTCTCGGCCGACGAGGAAGTAATGAATATCGTAGGCATTATTGAGAATGTGGCTGTAAAGGTTGGACGAGTGCACATCCTCGTCAACGTGCTCGTGATAGATGTGTGTTCCTATTTCGTGCTGTTGGGATTACCTTGGGCGATGGCGGTGGGCGCACGACTGCATTTCGATTCGAAACAACTAGTGCTCACTTAAACTGGGGGAAAGCCTCAAACTGTTCCCTTGTGAATTTCTACCCGTACGATAAAACGAACCCCTAACTCGGCCCAAATAGGGATGATTCGATACATTAATCCCGCGGAGTGTTGTTCTTCAGACATTGATAGTGGAATTGGGGGACAGGAATACGAAGAAGAGCTGCCTAGCGAAGATGAATGGAAGCACCTGGTCGAACTCTTCGAACATGAAATTCCCGAAGAATTCCAAGTGTGCCCCGACACGGTCCGAAGATTCCACGTGGATTCAGAAGACAGTGCGCTTGCGCCTCCAATAACCCAAGTTAGTCCTTCAGTCCTGCTCGGGGAACCCATATTACAAGTATCTGACATGGCCGACGATTTGGAACCCCCTCGCACTTTGTACGAAGGAGCTCTCTCCTTACGAACGCGTTATCAGCAAACGGAACAATATTTGGATGTTTCTGTTTTTCCGCCCAGATCGTTATTAACGATAGGAGCCACTATTGCCTTGATTAAACAGGAGGCGGAAGCACCGGTAAGTGATGTACCTGATCTGATGCAAGAAATGACGGATCTAACAGGACTAACTATGGAACCAACCTTGGTTGGTTCAGAGACTGATGCTGAGACTAAAGAAACGGAGATGATCAGCCCCGCTGAGTCCCAGATGATAGCAACTGTCTTCTCTGTTCGCACCAGTAGTTCCGTTTTTTCTAGTCTCTATGATCGGCGAGAACGACCGGTTGATTAGGTTGATATGCCTCTTAAGATTTTCGAAGAATCAATAATCACCCTACCGAGTCACGTTCCCGCGGAACTTCGGGAGTCATTAATCTGTGTGTTAAATGGTTACGCAGAAGTGTTGAGCATACACGATAATGACATCGGCTTAACTAATGTGATCGAGCATGCCATTCTCACGGGAGATCACCCACCCATTAGCTGCGTTCCTTACCGATACTCACCAGCTCAACAAGCGGCCGCTTTTCAGCAAATTAAAGAGTTCGAAGCTAATTGATGGATCGAACCCGCAATAGGTCCCTGGTCTTTTCCCGTAGTAATCATGCCTAAAAAGGCCGGAGGGATTCGCATTTGCATTGATTATCGAAAGTTGAATGATATCACGATCAAAGATGTGTACCCCCTCCCCCGTATTGATGAGTTGTTGGATGGGATTGGGAGTGCTCGATTTTTCAGTAAGTTTGATGTTCGCCATGGGTTCCATCATCTTCTTGTTCGGGAAGAAGATCGCCTGAAAATGATGTTTGTGCTTTTCGAGGGTATGTGGCAATGAATTCGATGTCCGATGGGTATCTTCAACGCCCCCGCGACCTTTCAACGAACCATGAACATGGCTTTTCAGAACTTCGTGCGGAAGACTCGTTTGGCACAGAGCATCATCAACTACTGCGTGATTGTGTACATGGATGACATCTTGGTGTACTCGAGTTCCTACGAGGGACACGTGCAGGACATCGAATGGGCCCTGCACGCGTTACGAGATGCGGGTTTCAAAGTGGCGCTTGAGAAATGTCAGTTTTTTCTCACCACCATTTCCTTCTTGGGACACGTGGTGACAGACAAGGGACTCCAACCGGAGCCGCAGAAGGTAGTTGCTGTCAGGGATGCGCCGATGCCTACGACTATCACGCAAGTTCGTGCCTTTCTGGGTCTGGCCTCGTACTATCGAAGGTTTATCAAGGGCTTCGCGGCGATTGCGGGACCCCTCACAAATCTGCTGCGCAAAGATCAGCGGTTGATCTGGACGCCGGAGTGCGATCAAGCGTTTTCCAAACTCAAGGCCGCTCTCATTTCGGCTCCGGTCCTTATAAGACTGGATCCCGAAAAACCTTTTGTTCTCATCACTGACTGGCAGCCAGAAGCGATTTCAGCGATCCTTGCCCAGGTGGGACCAAGCGGACTCGAGAATGTGGTGGAGTATGCATCCAAGTCGGTACCTGCCTGCAAGCGCAACTACGCCGCTCCAACGGGAGAATGCTACGCGGCTCTCTGGGGAATCAGTCATTTTCGTGCTTACTTGTACGGGCGAAAGTTCACCTTGGTAACCGATCATTAGCCCCTGTTGGCTCTGCAGAAATCGAAGGATTACTCGGGCATGATCGGGCGATGGGCAATTGTGCTACAGAGCATGGACTTTGACATTCGTCATTGGAAGCACGAGAGACACGGGAATGCGGACGGAATGACACGATTGCACCGGCCTGAGAAAGTTCCGAAGAGTGAGGAGGTGATTCCGTGGAACGAACCCGAACAGGAGATCGGACCTCGGTACGGACAAGTGGAGATCTTATCAAAGCAGTAAGCGACACGAGGACTAATTTGTCTGTTCTACCCTCTCTGCAATACAGTCCCAACCCTTCCTCCTCTGTCATCATGACTACCCCACCTGCCTTCGCAACCCCTTCATCTCCTATTAATTCTGCCCCTCTCACGTCCTCAGCTTTCTTTGCCACCCCCCCCGATAAATTCTGCTATTTATGCACATGCATTGCACGGGTTTATGGGGTCGATTGTCATCCTTTCAAGACCGGGTTTGTCGACTGGGTAGAATGTGCCACGTGTGTCAATCGTGCGCACGGGGCCTGCGTTCGATATCGGACGAGTGGTAAAGAGTGATAGTGCCCCCTGTGTAGAACAAACAAACTCCCCACGGAGGTTCGATTCGAGGCCACCCGTATGGACGACCCTGAATACGACGAAAAATACCGACGAGCACGGATAAAATTTTATTGGCGAAATTAGCGGGATTATCATTGGGTCACCTCACCAAACACGACAGACGTAGGGCGACCGAGAGATCTCGGGACTATCGATGGATCAACAGTCATTTGGAAAAAAGAAAAACTGACGGATTGGGGTCGTGGTTGATGGTTGCCTATCCATTCCAGAGATATGACTAGATTCGATCTGCTCACGAAGAACAGGCCGCTCATTTCGCGATACGTGTCACGGAGGCAACTGTTGACCAGAACCAATGGTTCTGGTCCAACATACGAGATGATGTTAAACTGTCTGGTCTGTGCCGCTGATCGCGCCCCAATTCGGGGACCAAACACGATAGTACCAACGGAAGTAGAGCGTCTTTTCCAGCGAGTCAGTATGGACACGACAGATATAGATGTGCCACCTGGCCCAAACCGCTGTGAATATTCTATCCTTTTAGTATTAATTGACCATTTTTCCAAGTACATTGAAGTCTACCCCTGTAAGACCCGAAAAACCGCAGAAATAGCTACGTACATCGATCGGTTCCTCTATACCCATCTAGATACGGAAGAAATTCTAACCGACAATGGGTCTGAATTCAAGGGTGAGGTGGAGGAATTGCTCGCGCGAAGGGGCGTCACGCTCCGACATACGGCACCCCACGTGTCCCAGTCGAACGGGTTGGCCAAGAATGCCAATCGTATGATTAAAACCGCCCTTCGTAGGAATTTAGCGGCACATGACACTCGTCCGTGGCCCGAAATCGTATATCAAATCGTCGAGATCAACCGGGTCACCCCTCACAAGTCCACGGGGTTTACCCCTTTTCAACTTCGTACTAATAGCCTCCCCTATGTCGACTACCGGGGTAACTCGAAAATTGCCGAAGCAGGGGGTAGAGACACGCGTGCAGCCCTCAAGGCGAAGGCCAAAAGGTACACCGAATTAATGGAACGGGCCGTCCCGAAGCTAGCCCGAAAAAGGCACAGGATGACCGAACTGGCCCACGGTAGACAGGTCCGTAGCTACGAGGCTCAGAATGGAAATGCTGGGCTGCAGCATCAAATAATGTTGTCGAGCTCGGTCCCAACGGCGCCAACACGGTGCGCATCGCGCCTGAGGCCAGTGCCAGCCATAGCTTTATCCCCATCGTCCGACATACCTCCTACCTCTGTCTTCTTCCTCCTTCTGATCTTCCTCCCTCTTCTTCCTCGGAAAGCGAGGAGAACGACGACGATCTAACTCTCTCTCCGCTCTCTCCGCTCTCTTCCTTCGTCCTCCTCTCCAACCTCGCCATGAGTTTCATCACGGAGTGGGCTCTTGACGAACAACTGTTGCAGCCACGTGGCCACATCTCAGAGATTCGGCAAAATTGTCACCCTCGGCTCAATATGGATCTTCGGCGTTTGGTGCAATTTTTCTGCGACGGGGGTGTGTGTGCCGCCGCCGCGTTTCGAATCGAAGGGAGTCCTCACGCAATAGTATTTGCGGAGGTGATCGCAGTTCATCGGCGAGCGGCTCCCAGAACGAGCCACGTCACCACGGTTGCGGCGTTCAGCGGCGACATCAGCTCGGTCAATCTGCAGAGGCATACCGCGATCTTGACTTCGCTACGTGAGTGGACGGAGCAGGTGTCCGACGTGTGGCAGCACGTCCTCGCCCGACCTGGGCATAACCTCATTCCTACCTTTGCGCCGGATTTTGGCGACATCCGCCGTTCTCCGCGTAAGCGGTCCGTTGCAATCCCTACCCTCGTCCCCTTCCCACGTCCCCAACGAACCACGCGGATCCTCTCGCTCCTTTCTCTATCTTTGGTCTCCCCTCTCTTTTCCCCACCTTTTGGCAATCCGATCTTCATCCTTCTCTTTCCTTCTCATTCTAGCCTCTTTCCGTCCCTCTTATCAATCCTCGGCATTGGCGTCTGTGGCGCGAAACTTTTGAGGAGCTGTCTTTCTGCTTGGCCAGAGTACAGGTGACATGGACGCAGACCAGCGAGCATCCTGCGTGGATCGAAAATCCGGAGCTGCTGATCATCCAAGCTTGGAGGACTAACGTGGAGGGCGATCTTCTTGGCTTTCTCTTTGGATCGGTACAGCCGGGGTGCCGCCAGTTGATTGCGCAGGAGCTCATCGCGCCGATCGTGCAATTAGCGGACGGTCTCTCGCCCGACATCTATTCGCAGAGTGACGACAGTCCTGCTCCGCACATTCTCTAGCGGTCATTGGATCCGTACCTCTAGTGGACTGCGTGCTTGGAGGAGCCCAGGGACGAAGATACGCTGCCGTCGCGGCAGGAGTATCTGAAGCCGTACGATATCATCCCTCACGCCTTCTATCCGAGGGCGGAGGAGGTAGTGATCGACGACGATGAAGAAGACGAAGAAGAGGAAACATCAAACGAGGGAAGCTATAGCGAATATAGTGAGGAAAAGCTGAGTGAAGAAGAAGAGGAGGGAGACGAAACCGGATCTGAGTGGGAAGCCTTGCCGGAGGAAGCAACGCGCACGGGAACGCAGACGGAAGATCCGAAAGCAACGTGAAAGCGCGAAGAAATTGCCACCGGGAAGCGCCAGCTGGAGTTTGCCAGCGGAACCGGCCTGCGCATCGGTAACGATCTGACCAGAGATCTGGAGCCGCCAGAGCCCGAAGATGGCGACCCTGCAGTCTCCACCTCAAGTGCCACGCGACGGAGACGGAGCTGATCCCCCTCCTCCTCCAGCCCCACCCGTCCCC